AGATGTTGATCAAACTGCTCCAAACCGACCCAAAACCAGCCAATCACGATGAACGATCATCATCGTTTACATGCTAACTGCTAGCTCAGTCGTTTTAAGGTAATTAGCATTAATAGCAACTATTTTAACTGCTTTGTTAGTAAGTATTGATTCACAGTGAACTGGTGTATTTTTATTTTTTTTATTTTCTACAGAAATCAACCAATTTGAATAAATAATCACTTCTATTGTGCAGTTTTGCTGATGGAATAGAAATCTTAATGCTACATCACTAGCTCTCCCTAAAATACTATATAAAATACCTTATACAGTTTAATTACACACAGACTGGTGTTTTCCAGCTTTGATTTCAGATAATTATGATGATTTTCCACTTATAGGTAATGAAAACATGACATTTAAAATCAATAAAAACATTATAACACAAATGTGGGTAAAATAAAAGGTAAAGATGGTGCTGCTTCAAAATCTGCATAATTTGCTAATTTAATTTTTTCCAAAATTTGTTGTTGTTTTTATGTCGTTTTTTTTTTCCATCCTGGAAAAATAATCACCAGAAAACCAAATCAGATGAAAAAGTAAAAAATTCCCAGCAGATTATGTTTCATTATGCTAACAGAGTCTATAACTTCACCTGAGTAACTCCATTTCTTACAGAAGCATAACGTGAGAACATTGAGAGCTGGTTTCTCAGGTTAAAAGTTTCCTAAATTCAACGAGGATTACAAACTTTATCAGACTTTCCATAAATCTCTCCTGTAAAACCCAAAAGCTGCAGACTGTCGGCAGGAGCTCCAGCCCTGGTTCCCTGGGGTGTCATGGGAAAGAAATGTTTGGAGGAACGAGTCCTTCATCTCCGGGACGCTGTGCGTATCTGACGGTCCTGTCACTGCCAGCTCATCGACGCGCTTTTTGTAAGATTTCACCTACTTTGGGGAACGGCCACCTGCTGTGATGTCACCATCTGGGATGCGCTACCTGTCAGCTGAGCGGATTCTGCCGCATTATTATTACAGAAGCTGCTCTAACGCTGAACTGTATTTGTTTTTTTTTCTCTAAGATGAGAAATGGAAAGTTTTGTGACCCGTAAAACGAAGCAACGTTCAGGCAGAAGCAGCTGACAGCTGCATCTGTGCTGACAGCAGATGGTTTGGCCATATCCTCCGCTGGAAACACACCTACACTCATACATGCTGCTACTCTCATCAGGAAGTTAGCTCAAGCTCACTTTAACTTTATCTGATGAACCCTGACTGTCACAACAACTCATAACTCAACCTATCTACCATGAAACTGGACTCCATCAAAGATGATTTAACATACTTTGTCGGCTGGTCCTCACTGCATTGGTAATTATATCTGAAAATGTCCCCCAAAAATTAAGTTTTAAAGTTACTGGAGCTGAGTCATACTTGTTTCTACACATCCTGAGTGTTAAATGCAGTCGGATAGTGACATTGACTCAACTAAATTTACTTGAGTAACACTTTTGAAAAAATGTACTTTAAATCCAAATATCCAATTCAACATTTACACTCAAATGGAAGAATGTTTCCCAATGGATGCATAATTATACAACCATACATCTTTGAAAAGCAGAAGTGGAGCTTTCTGCACAAGCAACTAAAATGCAAAAAGTGGTTTCTGGATGGTAAGTCAATCATCCAGAAACGTTCGTTTCTCAAACCCTCTGTCACGGTTCCCAGATGGGAGTAAGAACCTGCAGCTGAGGGCTCTCCCCCGGACGAAAGGCACTCTTTTTTTTGGACGGTACCAGGGCAACCCAACCGCAATGGAGACACACGCTCGCCTGGGAGTCTACCTGGTTGATCCTGCCAGCATATGCTTGGCTCAGCGATTAAGCCATGCAAGTCTAAGTACACACGGCCGGTACAGTGAAATTGGCCATGTGTACTGGCCGGTTTCACTGGTCGGTACACACGACAAGATAAAACAGTTGTCTTTTCCAGCAGCCATTATACCAAAAGTCCTGGAGCTTTAAAAGCTGTGATGTTTTTGAAACGGCTCGTTTTCCAGAGACCAAAAACCAAGAACGTATTGACAAAAAACATCTGGATGGTTTATTTTAGCACTTGAGCTGTTTTTAGAAGCAATAAAAACTCAAATGGAAGTAGACAAACATGGAACACATGAATTTCACACAATATGTCCCCTTTAAGACAAAAGGCATTGGAGCAATTTTGAGGATTTATGCAAGTTAATGTTCAAAATTAGCAAATTATTTCTTCATTCATTCATATGTAAGAGATTCTTTAATCATTTTGAAGGATGTTTTCCCTTGTGGTTTACAATCTCCTCCTGTTCACAATCTACTTTCAGTAAGTCTTAGACAGTATCAGACGTACGGAGGAATTTTACTGCCAAAAGTTGACACCACCAATATGAGTGCCGAAGAGGGATTTGAAAGTATATATCCACTTTGAATGATATGCAATCAAATTTATTGTTTGCTATATTGACAATAATGGGATATTAATGTTAAAAATAATGCATTTTCTGATGAATTCAAGGAAATAATTCTAAATAAAATCGGATGAGGATGTTGCACAAGAAAAAAAGCTTTTTGAACAACTTTTTTTTCAACAAACACAATATAAAGTTATTATAATGAATCCTTTCTATCCTTTTCATTCAAAATCTAAATTTCCTTCTCTACAATAAGTCTCCATATTGATTTAAATTATTGAGCTGCTCTTAAGCAATAAATCTGGAAACAAAAATCTTTAAATAAACTGTGTGGTCCTGAGTTAGAAGTGTTAACCTTTCTCTGACTTTCATGAAATCAGTAAATAAATCAGCATCAAAGAGCCGCTTGGCCGGCCTGTAAAATCAATCACAGATGGTTTCAGAGCTTTTCAGCTAAAGTAATTAACAATTAGCAGTTCAAAGAGTGGGTGATGGGTCAAACCAGAACACATGTTCTTCTAGAGGTCGTTCACAGCCACGTTGCTCACTGTGAAGGGACTTATTCACCAAACTGAAACCTTACAGCCTGTTACAAGTTCAGACTAGGACTGAAACCAATAATCGATTATTTAAATAGTCGTCAACTAATTTTGTAATTGTTAACCAGAGTAAGCAGACCCAAAAACAGTCAATTTACTGAAAAAAAATTAAACATATTCAGAGCATAAATTAAGTCCAAACTGGATAAATAATATATGAATTTTGCATTTGAGATGAAAAACAGTCTTTCTTTGTAAATATGTTTAACCCAGAACTCATCAAATGATTTCACCTGGTATACAATAAAATAAAAAAATATCTTTAAAAAATCTCAATAAATCAAATAATCATGTGATTAATTGATTATTGCAACATACATACAAATAAATATCATACAATTATCAGGATTTTAGGCAGTAAAGTGCATAAAATGCTGATATTGCATTTTAGGCAGTAAAATTTGTATGTTCTTATTAAAAAGTAATTGAATTATTTACTTGCATTTTAAAAAAGGCTTATGTAAATGAAAAATCCACAGAAAGTACCAATATTTAACATTTTATTTAATTGATAGAATAATTAGTTAATGCATGCCCTGTGACAGTGTCCCACAGCGCCCCCTATAGGTTCTCAAACCAGAGGTTCACATTAAACTCATCCAAACACTAGACGTTTCTCTCTGCGTGGAATAGATTCACTGAATATCTGAGAAGCGTCTATTGTTCTGTCTGTAATCCCATTTCCTCCTTTAAATTATAGCCGCCAGTTTCCCTTTCCTCCGCCACAGAGCCCAGCGCTGATGACTTAATTGTTTTCTCAGCGGTTCGGAGCGGCCGGGCCCGATCGGCCCCTGGGAACCCGCCGTGGGGCCAGGAATCCGGTGACACAGCGACTGTGACTGTGTGAAAGTCCAGCAGTAAACGCCTCCATGCGTGTCTCTGCGTGTGTTCACAGGCATTAAACCGAATGTGTGGGAAGCCGGCAGAGAGGTTTTCCTCTTCGTTTACTCAACAGCGCCGATTACCAGCCGCGGAAATGCTAATGGCTGTTTTGATAGCCGGCTGAAGCATTTGTTTAACTACATAATCCATGTCTGACCTGCAGAGCAGCGAGCTTGAACATCTAAAATATGAGCTGTAGGGTGTGGGGGGTGTACTAACTTTCTAGTGGGTACTTTCACCAACTCTCCTCAAAGTGTTGATGGATTTAAATCACCAAGCACCTCTGCACCTGATTTATGAGACCGAACACTTCAGAGAGACAAAACAAAACATATTCACAGGGAAAAAGCCACTTTGGAATCTGCTACATAAATACTAGTCCTGTCACAAGAACAAATTTTCCTGGACGATAAATTGTCGCAGAAGTTATTGCGATAAATGATAATATTATTTGTTTTCAAGTAATATAATGGCATAATAATGCAAGAACACATTCTCAACGCTCAATGAACTTTAAATCGAACATTTAACACTGGAACTGGAAGACAATGCCAAAGAAAATGTATTGTTTTTATTTTATATGAGGCAACCTTTTTTTGCCCTGAAAGGCAACTTTTAGGTATATAATTATTAAAACTGTAACAATTCTTCAAATGATTTGAGTATCTCGACTATTAAATTTTTCAAACACTATCATGTTATTATGTAATAATTATATTGTAATTATATTATACAAACATGATAATTATATTGCATTAACGTGATAGTTATATTGTATAAACATGATTATTTTATACAATATGCATCACGTTTATACAGCATAACTATCAGCTTTATACAATATAATTGTCACACTTATACAACATAATTATTACCTTTACACAATATAATTATCACGTTTATACAATATCACGTTCAACTGTGAACATTTATTTTTCTCCGTGACAGCAACACTCTTCCGTACTTCCGCAGCATCGCTTTGGCACCTAATTTTCCTTAAATTATGTTTTCATATTTAGCGCATCTGTTTCAGCCGGATGATTATTTATGTTGCGCAAGGCTCCCACTTCCGCCTATGAATTGTTGACGAATGCTAAAGTGCTAGCAGCTAGCAGCATAACGTTCAAGTTCGGTCCGGGGAGGATTTCATTGACAGATAAAAATGTCCGGAATTTTATCGTTTTTCGGGAGACCAATAAGCATCCTTAAAATGCTTGGAATACACCAGCCTTTCTCCTTGCCATCGGGTAATAAGATTAGAAAGAAGAGGAAGACGAAGCCTTTCTCCTCCAGGCGGAGCTGCTGCCTGGTGGTCGGTTCGGAGCGAATGGCGTAGGAGTGCGCGGTAGGTGCATTTATACAAGTGGAGCTGATGATTAGCGTAGCTTTACAAACGAATCGAAAAATAAATAATTTGCCAGAGGGCTGGTGTGAATACACCCTGAATCCAATCCAAATGGGACAATAACCAGTTTCTGTTCCGCGTCTTTCCATGACTTTCTGCTCTCATCTATGTCCAGCTATGACCTTCGTTTTTCTGTGCATGTGAATCGTTCCCGTTAAATGCCTGCTGCGTTCCACCATAAGGAAGTGATTTGGTCATTACACGAAGGCCGTTAGATGGCTTTGTAATGGTGTGTAGCTGGCGGCCATGTTGGGGCCCCGGCAGGGTATCAGTAATGATACGTCAGTCTGCGCGCTGAAAGGTCACCGTGTTAACACGACGCGGCGATGAGTGACAAAACGGAGTTAATGTTGCGTTCGAAGAACACGGCTCAAACAAAGTAAACACACAGATGTGAACATGTGTGGATGTAAGGGACGGGCCGAAAAAATATATATAAAAACGAGGCAGAGGAGGAGGAGAAAGGGAGACTGAAGTCTGATTAAAAGAAAACATGTCTTCAGCTTTGAAATGAACTCCATTATTCATCATCACACAGCTGATTTTAGGAAAACAAGATTACAAGATGCTGCCTCCTGATTTAGCGTGATGTGTGCGGTGATGACGAAGAAGATTTAGCAAAGGAAATTTATTTTATTTCATTTCCATTAACGACTGTAGAAACATCTTCATAACTCTCAGTAGTCTGGTTCTGTCTGACTTTATCAGCCTCTCAAATCACTGACATTACTGCAACTCCCCTCTGTCAAACATAAACTTATTTGGTTTCCATGGAAACATCAGATTCTTGGCTAAAACCTGATAAGCAGCGATTGAGTTTGACAGATGAAAGGGACCAGAAACCTTAATCAAAAAGAGCTCTGGTAGTGCCACGAAAAAAAATTATATATTTTGTTTTTTTTTCCCTTTTTTTTGTTTTTTAACTTCTCGTTTTTTACACTGGGTTTCCTAAAAAGTACATTTCATTTGGAGTCTAGTATAATAATTTCTTTTTTATATAAGTATAATTGAAAAAAAAACTACAATTGAGTATTAGGGCCATATAAATTAAAAATTAAAAAAATGTTATTATAATAATACATTTGTACAAGAATAAAGACATGATGAAAATAAAGTCGAAATAACTCCTCAATTAAGTGACAAAATTATGGGAACAAAGTCACAAAGTTACAACTAAAATGTCGTGCTAGCATAAAGTTGGAATAATACAAGAATAAAGACATAATATTTAGAGGATAAGATCGAAATATTATGAGAATAACAGTTTGGGAATAAAATTTAAATAATACGAGAATAAAGTCAAATTAGGGCTTGAAGGATCATTACAATCCATTCCTAATTTCAGTTCTCCTTCGATGCTTTCTAGTTAGCTTTTTAGGTAGGTAGTTAAATTAACCACGAAAACCTGTCAGTTTTAAAGCTTTGAAAACAACCATCTCTAAAATCTTTTTTAAAAAAAGAAAAATTATCTAATTTAGTTTTTTTTTTTAGCTAACATGTAGCTAAATATCTCAGATATAAATATGGTATAAATATCTGAGAAGTGTCATTATGTAGCTGTCTGTTCTTTAGCTCCTGCCATGGAGCTGCGTACAGAATGAAGTCAGAAAAGTAAAAAAAAAAATTCTCAGTGAAATGACTCCGCAGAGTGAATCATATGCTACATTGTTCGCTCCATGTCACGAGTTAGTGGGTGTTTTTCCTGCCTGAGAGTCAGTGAAACATACAATTTAATGTCATTCTGCAGATCTGGAAGGTCAAGTGAGAAGTTAGTCAGAATGATTCATGGAGAAGATGTAAAGTCGGGCACTGATGCCATTTCAGAGCTAAAACTTTGGTTAGGAGCAGGTTGGGTGGAAACTCACAAAGAAAACTAACATATTTCAAATTTCTCTTGTGACCTCTAGAGGAACAAAAATGGCAAAAATCAGTAAAAAAAGAAAAAAAATCATTGCATAATTAGTGAAATTTGTGATATTAAAATAATTTAAAAAATGTAAATTGAATACATATTTTAGTATATTATCAATACACATATTTATTAGATTATGGAAGATAATGTATATATTTCACATGTTCATGTAATATTTACGTTTGTAAGCACATTTACCTTATTATATGGTAAAACATTTGACTAAATAATAAAACAGTCTGCAATAAATAATG